AATTTTGTATTCTTAGCACTGAGCAAAGGGCAGCCTTTGAGCAAACATATGCAACCTATCACAGAGGAGCCATATTCACCAAAAGCAGACCTGGGAGCACATCAGAAGATTGAAACAGCAGAGGCGGGGTTTGTCGTGCAGGATTGGGTCCAGGTGTGCTCATAAACCCTCCCGGAGGCTCACCCTCATCATCATCTTGGTATTTTAAAAGGTCTATTTAGATGACCTTCTGCAAATACGTTGGGATGCTAAATGAGATCTCCCTCTGTGATCTCGGAAACCATCTGTCTCGGCTCCAGAGACACTATTTATAGCAGATAGGACTGATGTGGTGTCAAGATCAAGTCCCAGAGGCTTAATTCCACTCAAGACAGCAAAAATATCTGTTGGACAAACAACAAAGAGGGAATAGAAATCCTAATTGGGAAGGTTGGAGCAGATGCTTGAGACGGATCACGGGCACACAAAACGTGCTCTTTCCCGGCACCGGAGCCAAAGCAAGGATGTGCCACATAATCAAACGCGCAAGGGCAAGGGCAAGGGCACTTTTGAGTGTGAGTGTCAACACTGTCCACAGTTTCCTTTTCTATGGTCTCATCTTGCTCTGCTAACTTCCTGCTTGCTGGATGTCCTCCCAGGATCTGACTGGATCATGTGACCTGGAGTGTTGATGAAGCTGCCTGTTCCATGCTAAAATTTGAAGGGGGGAAAAGAAAGATCTTCTTTGTGATAAATAATGAATGGTTTTATTTGTTAGTGCACCTTCCACCCCGTGCTGTTCAGTCTCACCAAAATGACTTACAGTGAGTCTAACTTACAGATCTGATGAGGTATCTGAGGTTAGGAAGTGAATGAGAAATGTGTCCCATTTCTCATTTCTAAGTGGTGCTTATCCTCCCAAGGACAATGGGATTTACAGTCTCAAAGGGCAGGGCAATCCTGTATATTATGGACCTCAAGATGCTCTGAAGGAAATTTTTGGCGGCCTCGGGGTGGCAAGAGAAGCGGAGCATAGCGTTTAACAAACAGCCTCACACCCAGGATGCAGGAGGGAAGGGCTGCAGCAGAAGCACAAACGTATGCAATATTAAAGACCCACGGACAGCGTGGGCACATCTTATTTAGGTTTTCTAACCAGCCCACACCAGGCAAAGTAGTTTTAATAACAATAAAAGCAAAAAATATATACACTGAGTGGCCAGACTATTAAGACCACCTGATGTTTGTAGGCAAATTGGCCGTACACTGCATCGTATGGGATGTGGAAGCCAAAGGCCTGTTCGAACACCTTTGCTGTCTGCAGTTACCAAGATAAAAAAGTCTCCAATTTGTACAGGAACACAAGGTTTGGACAGTTGAGCATTAGAAAAATGTTATGTGGACTGATGAATCACGTTTCCAGTTGCATCATGCAGATGGCAGAATGAGAATTTCACGGAAACAGCCTGAAAGCATATACCCCACATGCATGAGTACAACCCTTCAAGCTGGTGGGGGCAGTGTTATGGTTTGGGGCATGTTTTCCTAACATAATTTGGACCCTTTAATTGGTTGGAACAACATCTGAATAGCACAACATACCCAAGTATCATTGCTGATCAAATTCATCCTATCATGTTAATGGCGTATCCCAATGGAGATGGCTTCTTCCAACAAGACAATGCACCATGCTATGGTGCTTGTATTGTGCAGGAGTTGTTTCAAGTACATGAGGGAGACTTTACCTTGCTTAGGTGGCCCCCACAATCACCAGATCTCAATCCCATTGAGCATTTGTGGAACAAAGTTAAAAGAGCCATCCAGCAGCTGGTCCCACAACCATCAAATCTCACAGAACTGGACAGTGCTATTCATTAGGCATGGTGTCAGATTCCTCGCATCACCTTTCAACATCTCGTGGAGTCAATGCCAAGAAGAATCGCCACAGTATTGAAAGGTGGCCCAACAAAGTACTGATGAGGTGGTCATAACAATCTGGCTACTCAGTGTATATCAGCTAACAAACTATTCAGCTAGGCCAGATATGCTGACTCAGGTCTTCCAATTTCCGACGGGAAACCTAGTTCTGCCTTATTTTAAGCAGTATAAAGAGACTTATATTTGCAATAAATAAAAAGGTTTGCTTATGAGAGAATACACTACACTATTTTCTACATTTGATTCTTTCAAATGTAGCTTTATTGATACAAATGTAATGATTAAACATTCAGAAATGCCTCTTTAGGAAAATGAGAAAACAGGCCCTGGAAGAAGATACACCCAATGTTCAGGATCAACCAGTGTTTCTGAATACCACCCCAATGGCCTTGGTAATACATACACATACTTTTCTACTGTTTATAAAGTTTCTGATCCTCACCACAACCCAGTTGATGGGGATTATTAAGCGTGGAAACTGAGGCTTGGAGAAGGTACACGTCAAATGAAATTGCTTACTATGTGCTAGGCACCTGGCTAAGCACCATATACTGGTCATTTCATTGATCCTCCTAGCCACTCTGTAAGAGATTACAGATTCCCCATTAATAGATCATGAATCAGGAAATGAACTCTGAGAGATTAAGGAACCTGTCCCAGCTGATAAATGGTAGAGAGGAAATATGACTGAGAACTCATAGAGAAAGGAACAGACAACCATCAGCTCGGAGATCAGCAAAGGAGAGGCCATAGAAGCTGAAGAAGCTGGGCAAGACATCCTATAGAAGGTAAAGAATCTTAGTGAGGGTAGTGGGGAGGGAAGAGGACAGAAAAAGTGCAATTTGAAGGGAGGGGAGCAGGTCTGAGAGGCTGAATTACATAGGCAGGTTTGGGGAATGGGGTCTGCTCTGGTGCTATGTTGATGGTGTGTTACTTCCTGTCCATATTAGGAGCTAGCTAGAGGATTGGCCAAAGCGTTTCTATGAACAGCTCAAAGATCAGATCTCATATAATTAGGAGGCCTTATTAAAAAACACAATGAAAAAATATAGCCTAGATCAAGTCACTTAAAGGGAAACTTAAGAGTTTACCCCTTTCCTTATTAACAGTGAATAGAGAGTATTCCAAACCAAACAATGAGAATGTAGAAAAGTTTGGCAGCCTTAAGAGGGTAAAGACCCATGAAAAGGCTGGGAGCTAAGACTGGCTGTTGAGCTAGTTTAATTAGCTGTTTCTACTTCCATCCATACTGATAGAAAAGCATCGCAATATATACAGGAAGCCACATGCAGCAGTTCCTACCTGCAGAGGCAAACGAAGATCACTCAGGAAATAAGTTATCCTCAACTCTGGAGAAAAGCTTTTAGCAAACTTCTATCAAATGGGAGAAGATGAAATCCTATATAATAAAAGCCTAATATGCAAATACCTGAACGGCAGAATGGCCAGTCATTATGATGTGCACTGACCACAAGGGGGCAGTCAACACAGGAGCTGCCCCCAGCCTGCAGGCCCCAGGCCAGCCAAGGCAGGTGCCATTCCTCCCTCCCACCCCCATCACCCCACAGATTGGCCCTGATCACCAACCAGGTCTAGGGACCCTACCTGTGCATGAATTTTGTGCATTGGGACTCCAGACTTTTAACAAACACTGGCCTTTAAGCACATCAGGTGCTTCACTAGTAGGATGGAACAGAACATTGGGATTCTCTAGGTCAGGCCTGGTAGCAGGAGAGAGAAGGGCCATGTCCAGGAAACATGGGCAAAGCATTAAGACCCAGGCTTCTGTAGCATATATTGTGTTTGGCTTGTCTAGTGCTTTAGGGGGCTAATAGCTGTTACAGAAAAACAGAATAGGACCTCTCACCCCTTGATAGTACTAATGCAGAAACATTTTATTCCTGCCAAAAAAGGAAAAAAAATCATGTGATTAACCATATGATAGCTATTTTATCTGTAAATCTGGTTATATGAATTTATTCCTTACTAAATAAAATAGGTAACAGAAATACCAAAATATTCATTTAAAAAACACATACATTAATAAGAGTAATTGTCTTTAAGGAGAGGCACTAGTTGAAGCTGGGGGTGGAGTAGAGGGCAAGCCTAGGGCAAAAGTTCAGGGGAGATTTTTATTTTTCACTTCATATCCTTTTGTGTCAATTTAACTTTGTGAATATATTCCTTATTCAAATATACATGCATTGATTCATCACATTTTGAGGAAATAAAAACCCATGATGTTATACATTTTAATGGCACTATTGATTAGTGACAATCAAAAGGTAATTAAATAATCAAAGACCTATCATCCAAGCAAAAATTAACATTCCAGACCAGTTAAAAAAAATTATGAGTAGAAAAGACCATGGTGAGAATAAAGCAAAGCTAAATTGCTGGGTTAGAATTGATGTATACTTTTATCTAGCATTCCATTAAGTAATAATGATAATAATAGCAATAGTACATACCTATATTTACACTTTGTATATCCAGGCACTATCCTAAAAATTGTTATAATAGTCCTAAATGCTGCTACAATGTAGTTGATATAATAAGCATTTATAAAAATACTAGAGGCCCAATGCATGAAAATTCATGCAAGAATGGATCTTTCTTGCTCTGGCTATGGGCACTGCCTTCGCGCCAGCCTGGAGCTGCCTTTTCCCCTTCCCACACTGCCCAGAGGCCCAGAGCCGCTGGGGTGGTGTGGAATGTCTGCGTTATCGCCATGGCAGTGATGCAAGCATCCCACCCTGGCCCTAGCTGCTCATTAACCCAACACCTTTGTTAGGTTAATTTACATACTCACTCCTGATTGGCTGGTGGGTGTCACGAAGGTACAGTCAATTAGCATGTTACCATTTTATTAGGTAGATTCAGCATCCTAGATGAAAAAAATCCTGACTTATTAAACACTGAGAAACATTTCAAAGCTGCCCAGAATATGGATACATATCCTTTTACAATTATATATTTTTCTGATACCATAAAAAACAAACTCTTCCATAAAGCGACACATGGCCACGATAAGGCTCAAGAGTAGCTGTAACAGTGGCTACATTTCACATGTAGAAACTTACCAAGGGTGTGTCTCTTCCTCCCACAATGCTGAGGCCAAGCCCTGAATGCCCCTTGGCTATTTCAATAATCATCTCCTGGCCGGGGACAATGGGACACGTGGCAGGATCCACTGACAGGGGAGCCTGGAAACCACCTGGAGAAGGAGTGAACACGGAGTAACTGTCAAACCGCTCGCACACTTGTAGAGGACACGCTTTGCATGTGCTTACCATTTCACTCTTTTTTTGCCAGCACCAAGGGGAGAAGGCTGGGTCATTCCTGCCCATTCACCCAGAGAGGAAACATGACATTCCTATGACACTTTTGAGATGAAAGCAATAACTAACCCTCTTCCCAAATCATCCATGTTAGCTTGAAAATTTTCAATCTTAAATACACCATAAACTATGATGTAACTGAAAAAAAAAAAGCAAACCCAATTACCTGAAAATGACCCCAAATATATACATAGTAAAAAAAAAAAAAAAGTGTTATGTAAACACAACTCAAGAATTAATTGCTGACTCCATAAATGAAAAACTTGTTAAAAGTATGTGTTATTGCTTTTTTTTTTTTTTTTTTTTTTTTTTTTTTTTTTTATCAATCTTTATTGTTCATATTATTACAAAGGTTCCTCATTTCTTCCCCCCTCCACCAAGTTCCCATCCCACCCTCTGCCCCCTCCTCATCCCCCATTGTCCTCATCCATAGGTGCAGTTTATGTTCAGTCTCTTCTTCCCTCAATTTCCCCAATAGTAAATCCCTTTTCAGATAGTAAATCAGTTACTTAGCATTTTCTCATATCAATAATACCTCCACATGCCCAATGATACACTTCACACAAAAGACATTTCCCAATAGGTCCACTAGCCTCATCCAGGCCCCACCCAAGGCACTCACAGTTCAACACCCCAGTCCTAAACTAACTCAACACATCCAGATCTAAGCCTTCATCACTTGATTCAGCAGACCCTCAAGTTCCCACGAAAGTTTCCAGCCATGTCTGAGAAGCAGCCGTGGAGCAGGGGCAGGCAAGGAGCGAGCTGTTCTGGGCCTGGCTGCTCAGGGCCTGGCCTCTGTTGCTCTGGTTCATTCCACAACCAGCTGCTCCGGGTCTGGTCACTGCCGCTCCCGACCTAGTTGCTCTGGACTTGGCTGCTGCTGCTCCGGGCCTGGCCGCTCCCAGCCTGGCAGCCGCTGCTCCGGGCCTGGCCGCACCCGACCCGCCTGCTCCCCCGGGCCTGGCCGCTCCCAGCCTGGCAGCCGCTGCTCCGGGCCTGGCCGCACCCAACCCGGCTGCTCCCCCGGGCCTGGCCGCTCCCAGCCTGGCAGCCGCTGCTCCGGGCCTGGCCGCACCCGACCCGCCTGCTCCCCCGGGCCTGGCCGCTCCCAGCCTGGCAGCCGCTGCTCCGGGCCTGGCCGCACCCGACCCGCCTGCTCCCCCGGGCCTGGCCGCTCCCAGCCTGGCAGCCGCTGCTCCGGGCCTGGCCGCTCCAGCCCCGGCTGCTCCCCCGGGCCTGGCCGCTCCCAGCCTGGCAGCTGCTGCTCCGGGCCTGGCCGCTCCAGCCCCGGCTGCTCCCCCGGGCCTGGCCGCTCCCAGCCTGGCAGCCGCTGCTCCGGGCCTGGCCGCACCAGCCCCGCCTGCTCCCCCGGGCCTGGCCGCTCCCAGCCTGGCAGCCGCTGCTCCGGGCCTGGCCGCACCAGCCCCGCCTGCTCCCCCGGGCCTGGCCGCTCCCAGCCTGGCAGCCGCTGCTCTGGGCCTGGCCGCACCCGACCCGCCTGCTCCCCCGGGCCTGGCCGCTCCCAGCCTGGCAGCCGCTGCTCCGGGCCTGGCCGCACCCGACCCGGCTGCTCCCCCGGGCCTGGCCGCTCCCAGCCTGGCAGCCGCTGCTCCGGGCCTGGCCTCACCAGCCCCGGCTGCTCCCCCGGGCCTGGCCGCTCCCAGCCTGGCAGCCGCTGCTCCGGGCCTGGCCGCACCCGACCCGGCTGCTCCCCCGGGCCTGGCCGCTCCCAGCCTGGCAGCCGCTGCTCCGGGCCTGGCCGCACCCGACCCGGCTGCTCTGGGCCCGGCTGCCCCGGGCCCGGCCGCTCCGAGCCTGGCCACTCCCGACCTGGATGCTCTGGGCTTGGCTACTGCTGTTCTGGGTCTGGCTGCTCCTACCCCGGCTGCTCTGGGCCCGGCTTCTCTGGGCCCGGCCACTCCGGGTCTGGGTGTTCCTGGACTGGCCACCCTGGGCTTGGCCGCCTCCGCCTCATGCCTGGCTGCCACTGCCCCAGGTCTGGCTACTCCAGTGCTGGCTGTTGATGCTCTGGTTCTGGCTGCTGTTGTTCTGGGGCCTGGCCGTTGCTGCTCCGGGTCTGGCTGCCACTGCTTTGTGCCTGGCCACTCTAGGCCTGGCCGTCGCTGTTCCAACATTCTGTCCGTTTTTTTTTCTTTTTTCTTTTTAAAATGCATTTATGTTGCAATGTTGGCTGGTGAGTTGAGTTCTGACTTAGTCTTTGATTTTTCAAGATCTTCTTTGTATTCTTTCTTAAGTCATTTTACTATTTTTTGCTCTCACTTGATTTCTTCACATTGAGAACTTCTTTGGTTTCTTCCTCCTTGTCCTGGGAGCTCAGCAGGTTGGCCTGTGGCACCCCTTTGTTCTGCGCGGGCTCCTGCGCTGCTTCAGCCTGTTGCCTGGACGGCGCCACCCAGGAAGCAGCCCCCGGCCTTGGCTCCATTGCCCGAGCTCAGTGGTCAAAGGCTCAGGGGCACCCACGCCCCCAGGGGCCCCGTGGCCCGCCTCCTTGCTGGTGCCCGGTTAGCTGGAGTCCGGCAGGGGCTTCCGCTCCCCTCCGCGTTCCCCCAGCCTAGAGCTTTTTTTTCTCCTTCCTGTTAGAGAAGTCCAGCATCAGAGTCAACAGAATGTCCTCTGCGCGCAGTTTGCGCGAGTCCCACAGACTGTCCTCTGCGCGCAGTTTGCGCGAGTCCCGGGGGCCCGGCCTTTCGCCGCTCTCCCCGGACTCCACCTCACAGCCCCGTCTCCCTCTGCCTGAGCCTGGGTCCCCAGAGATTAGCCCAGAACTGGGGTTCGGAGCAGTCCGGACTGAGGCTCAGCGCCGCCGGAGGCCTTGTTTCTTCCGGCTAGGGTAACCCAGCATCAGAGTCAACATTCAGTCCTCTGAGCGCATTGCGCGCGACTCCCGGGGCCCTGCTTTTCGCAGTTTTTCTGCCTCACGGCCCTGTCTCCTCCCACCGGAGCCGGGGTCCCCAAGGTCTGGCCCATAACTGGGGCTCAGCGCTGCTGGTTCGGGGGGGCTCAGCGCTGCCGGTTCGGGGGTTCAGCCCAGGCTGGGGGTTTTATTTCCTTCCTGCTAGGGAAGGAAAGGCAGCACCCCGCCCTCTCCTCCTCTCCGGCTGCGACCTCTCCGTGTGCGCGTGCGGGCGGGCACTCGCGCGCAGCATGTCTCCGTACCTTAGGCTTTTTTTCAGCTCCTCTGATTTTCTTTCTGGTTTTCTCTTTCCTTCTTGTTGTAGAAATTTCAGTCAGTCGACTACCTGTAGCTCTGGGCAATGTCCACTCTACATTTTAGTTGTATTCCATTGAAATTGTTGTGTGCTGCCGCGGCTAGATGTCTACCCGAGCAGCCATCTTGGATCCTCTCTGTTATTGCTTTTTTATAAAGGTTTACTTTTTGGAACCATTGTTTTAGACTTTTTTTTCCCTAAAAACTAGGAGAGAAAAATTTATTGGCTAAGAAAAGATTTTTTAATATATGTTTTTATTGATTTTAGAGAGGAAGAGAGGAGAGAGAGACATCAATAATGAGAGAGAATCATTGATTGGCTGCCTCCTGGGTTGAGCCTGCAACCCAGGCATGTGCCCTGACCAGGAATTGAACCATGATCTCCTGGTTCATAGGTCAATGCTTAACCACTGAGCAACACTAGCCAGGCAGAAAAGATTTTTAATACCCATTTATCTAGCATAAATTCCACATATCAGCATTTTCCAGATGACTAAAGCTAATCCAATGAAAAATCAAAACAGCCAAAATGTTTTTATTGATTTTTTTACAGAGGAAGCAAGAGAGATAGAGAGCTAGAAACATCGATGAGAAAGAAACATCAAACAGCTGCCTCCTGCACATCTCCTCCTGGGGATGTGCCCGCAACCAATGTACATGCCCTTGGAATCAAACCTGGGACCTTTCAGTCTAGCACTTTATCCACTGAGCCAAATCGGTTTCAGCTTCAAGAGAGTCTTATACAAATAATAATCAGAGATGTCTCTCTCTTTTTTTTATAACTAAGTTTGGTCATCATGAGTATTGATTCTTCCATGTGATGTAATTTAGTAAGGGGCTAATAATAGAGGGTCCCATCTGCTGGTTACCTGCAGCTAATACACTGGGGCCACGCTGAGATCCACAAAACTCAGTAAACTATGTGGAAACAAGGGCGTACAGACTTTTAGAAAGTTGAAAAAAAAAAAAGAGTATTTCAAGATACCTGAAATTATACAAAATTCAAATTTCAACACCCACAAATAAAGCTGCATTGGAACATAGCCCTGCTCCTTCATTGACATCTAGTGTGCAGCTGCTGTCACACCACAATGGCACAGTGGAGTAGCTGCAACAGAGATCAGATGGCCCGCAAGCCTTCAGAATTTACTACCTGGCTCTTTACAGAAGAAGCTGGCTAATCCCTGGTATAAAACAAAAGGGAACAGGCGCTAGGGAAGACTGTGCGGGTTCTGCTCTGACTAAGCAATAATCATGTTCTTTGTGACAAAAGGGCACACGTTTGAATTTGAGCTCCCAAGCGGGAAACCAGTAGGTGGGTGCAACTGACATTCACTCCTCATCAGAGAAATGCTGTAACCACCACCTAATAGGCTGTTAGAGGAATGAAATGTGTGTGAGGCACCCAGCCCAGGGTCTGGCAGATTGTAGCATTCATATATCTGCTGTTCCTGACCACATGGATTATATTAATCTAATGGTCTCTTGGTGAAGAGTGAGAAATTTAGGGACACAACCTCAGTAACAATAATAAAAAAAAAATAAATAAAAGCTATATTCGAAGTAGAATGTTATAAGCCTGATTTGTCACTTGATGTTTTTGCAGCATGTGTATTTCATACTTCATATCTCCATAACTAACAATAAAAAGAATGTACATCCATTTCATGGGTGCTTTAAAAAGTTTATGCTCCTTTGTAAATGACTAGTTTAGTCTCTAGAGTGAGAAGAGAGTGAACACATAGAGATGCTGGCGATGGCACTTCCTTCCCTCCTCCACTTTTGCCTGACACCAGCTAGTCCTGACTCAGTCTCGGTATTTATTTCTCTCATAGGATCCAGCCCAGAGCCTCATGCATATCAAGTCCCCAGTAAAGGCTGGATAAGTAGGTGACTGACTGAATACATTTCCACAGATTAAATTGTAGGATGATTAATGTCTGCTATTGAGGCATAAATATGTGACATATTTATGATCAAAACTCAATTGGTCTCCATTGCAGTCAGCAAACTTTTCCAGTAAAAGGCCAGGTAGTAAATATTTTGGGTTTTATAGGACATATGGTCTCCGTTGCAACTTTATCCTTAGAGTGTGAAAACAGCCTGAGACAACATGTAAACAAATGAGTGTTCAATAAAACTTTATTTATAGACACTGAAATGTGAATTTCACATCACTGTCATTAAATATTCTTTTGATTTTTTTCAACTCTTAAAAAATATAAAAACCATTTGTAGCTTGCAGACCATATGAAAACAGAGGGCGAGCCAAATTTGACCCGGGGTCATTTACTGACCACATTCTTCAGGTATTTTAGTAAAAATCCAGTTCTTTAGAATAGTATCTGCATATTAAATTTTTATGAGCTAATATTTATAAAAATATGTGAGGATAAATACCATAAGGTGTTAGTCGTGCTAAGTTCATGTAGATTTATGCTTTGCCATTGGTGACATGGTGTTGTAAATAGTCCTCCTTTTCCCCTCCTTTTACTGACTTACATTGTGTAAAAGCAAAATGGAAATACTCATTATTCATTTTGAAGTTCTATTTTCAACCACCAGTCATCATAATTCAAGCCAGGAATTCAAAGAGAGAGAGTGAACACCAATTTCTCTAAGCACTGAAAATTATCAGTCTTCAAATAGCTTACATCAACATATGCAAAGTTAACAATTTGGCCAATATGATTTTTAAAAGACATTACTCATGAAGTAAACACAATCTTTTGGAGAGATCAGAGAATAATTTGTAAGCTTCAGATTCAAACAGCATTTACTGAGTACTTTAATATTCAATATGCAATAGGCAATCTCAGTGGTAGAGATGAGAATGGTATAGGAAGTAAAGTGACTTGGCCAAGCTCAAAGCTAAGGAAGTGGAGGGGGGGTGCAAAGCCCCGCTTCCTGACTCCTAGTTTAGTGTTCTTTTCAGGACATCACCAGCCCTTTTTTGGTCTTTTTTCGTTTTGTTTTGTTCGTTAATCCTCACCTGAGGATATCTTTTTCCTTTGATTTTTAGAGAGAATGGGAGGGAGAGGGAGAGACAGAGAGAGAGAAACATTGATGTGAAGTAAATACATCATTTGATTTGTTGCTTGGTTGCCTCGAACACTTGTCCAAACCACCGGGCAATCAAGCCTACAATCTAGATAGTGCCTTTGATCGGAATCAAACCTGACACCCTTCAATGGCTAATGCAATGGGCATATGGCTAGGACAATCCCTCCCTTTTTAAAAGCATGAGTCAATTCCATTCTGCTCAGAGAGAAAACCTTACCACAGCCCGTGAAGCCTGCATCTGTTGAATGGTATGATGGAGTTGGTGCTAAAGGTATCTCTTGTGAACTGAAGGAGACTTTCGTTGAATATTTTTGCTGTTTCTGGCTGACAGCCTACAAAAGGAAGAAAAATTTGACAAATGTCAAAGAGGAGAGACTTTAAAATTGGTGTATTGTTACCTAAACAATAGTACATTCCAATAACATCTTTTAAGAATTTAGAGTAGGAGAAGGGGCAAGAGGAAGTTAGGATGATTTTTATTCCATTCCCCATGCTTCCCTACTGAACTTTATGTCTAAAATGCTTTGATGAGTAATGGATCAAAGAAGGGGAGAAGGATAAAAGTGGAAGATACTCTATCATTGTCATCTGTAGATGAATATGGGGCTGGGAAGCAAAACCGAAATTTTAATAATTTCTCTTTATTCTGATGAAATCAATGTGAAGTCTGTAAATATGTGCTGTGCCCAATGACAAAGAATATATGCTGCAGATGTTCTGAGCATATAGCACTACCCGTGTCTTCTGGACACATTCACAATAGTCAGTGATGCACCAGGTAGGTTAGCTGAGCAACATGGGAGGAAGGAAGGGACTACAAACATCTACTGAAGGCCTACTAAATGCCAGGTACACCAAATACATTTAGGTCACCTCGAAGAACTGTGCTTTATTTGCCTTTGGTCCCCAGTGCTTCCAAATAGTAGGGCCTCCATACATGTTTGAGGAATGAATGAAAAGTAAGTGGATAAATGCATATAGAAGAGCAAAACTGAAGTCATAGAAACTCAGAGTAGAATATGAATGAGTAATTCCATGAAAGAACATGTGAGCTTTAGAAAATTAACCTGTGATTCTGGATTATTATTGATGATACTACCAATGAATATTAGTATCAGGGAACTAAGAAAAACCAAAAGGACTCCATGCTTGCTTAACAGGCAGTTAAGAAATATAGGTAGTGACCTGACCTGCCTTCTGGATCTGTAGTTAGCCAGGGAACCCATCCCCAGCTGGAAGACTCTGGTGGAGGCAGTGAAGCACCAGGCTGTCCCTGGAGTCTAGAAATAGGATCAAGGTAACTGCTCCAGAATGGTAACACCTCAAGATTTGTCAGTGGAAGGCAGTACCTCAGTACAAGCTTGTGGAGTGTGCAACAATACCACCCTGTATATCTGAATTGTGCTTTCCAGTTTTCAAAAAACACTTTTACATCCATGAATTCATTTAATCAGGAGAACAACCTTGAAAGTTAGATGATATTATTCTCTTTTCCAGAGAAAGAAAAATAAGACACAAATGTCAAGTAACATTTTAAAATCACACAGCTAATTAGAGGAAGAGATAGGACTTAAAGTCGGTAGTGAAGAACATTATAAGTTTATCAAACAGCTGCTAGGCAAAAACTGAACAGATGTTCATATTTCTCCTGTAGTTTTTCTATCACCATCATTTAATAATAGCTGCATACTTATAAAAAGACTTATTCAAATGCAGATTTTCAATACTTTTAAAAAGAGGGACTTGGCTGGCATGGCTCAGTGGTTTAGCATAAACTTATGAACCAGTAGATCACGGTTCAATTCCTGATCAGGGCACATGACCGAGTTGCAGGCTCAGTCCCCAGTGTGGGACATTCAGGAGACAGCTGATCAATGATCCTCACTCATCGTTGATGTTCCTATCTCTCTCTCCCTCTTCCTTTCTCTCTGAAATCAATAAATACATATTAAAAAAAAGTAAAGGGGAGAAAGTGGAAAAATGACAAATAAGGGATTACTATAAGAACACTGAACAATAGAAGCAACTAGATGTCTGATTACTCTAAAAACAATCTTTCCCAGACTCCTTGACATTAGATGTGTCCACAGAGGAAGTCCTGGTCAATGGGATGTAAACAGACATGAACTACATAATTTTCATATCATTCTCTTAAGGAGAAGCATCATACTTTCCCCTTCTCCCTAGCTGGAAAGTGGATGGAATGGTACTACCTGGAATGGCCAACTTAGACCCATAATTGGATGCCAAGTTTTGACGATTCCAATAGTCAAATAAGAATGGTATAGTAATCATATGAGAGGTGCTTGGATGCCTGTCACCATGGGAACACCTTATCACTTGAAAGTGATCATATCCTGACTTATGTAAAAGAGGAACTTCTTGCTGTGAAGGAGCCTAAATCTTAATTCATATGGTATTTACATCTAACTTTCAATTTATATCATCTCATGAAAGAACATCGATAACAAAGGTGAATGTAAGGTGCAGAGTTCTTTTATGAAAAAAATCATGTGAGTTTTAAAACAGGAAAGCACAAGAGACAGCACGCACTACAGCATGATTTTTATAAATAGCAAGGAATGTATGTTCCTCACCTTTCTATCCCCATTCCATGTAACATCCCCTTTCATTGTGCATAACAGGTTTCCAATACATACTGGTAGAACTGAATTCAATTAAGAAAAAACAAAAAAACAAAAAACCCACAGGAAACGGTCCATAGAAAGCAAGGAAAACACCCAAACAAGTATATTTAAAAGCAGACCTCTTGTTGGTAGGTGTGGCGATGGATGAACCATATGCTCCTGGGACTCACCTACTGACACAAAACCCAACTGCCAAGGATGAAAGGTCCAAAAGATTGGATTTGCTGTTGAATGTTACTATATTCAAATATGAGAGCAGGAATGGACTTAAAAGCTATCCAGCCTATCTAAATCAGTACTTCATAATGGGAACTGCTAGGGAGCTTTTAAAATTTATGAATACTGGAATCCCCAAGTGATTTGGTGCCCAAGGGTGTGGAGCCCAAGCAGAGTTTTTTTCTTTCTTTCTTTCTTTCTTTCTTTCTTTCTTTCTTTCTTTCTTTCTTTCTTTCTTTCTTTCTTTCTTTCTTTCTTTCCTATTTTTTTTTTAAGTTGAGAGACTTATTTCTTAAAGTTAAACCATAGATTTTTAACCCAGAATAAATGGGTTTCTAAGAAGGAATTCTGGAAACTATAAAACCAACGGTAATTGTATCAAAATTATACTTATCGGTATTTTCCCGGGGAAAGGGTCTACACTTCATCAGGACTTCATAATAGAGAAAAAATTTATAACTTGAAAGAATATCTGAATTGCTACATTTGTTGGTGGCCACAGGCAAGTCACTTAATCTCCTTACCCCCAACTTCCTCATCTGTAAATTGGTGGCGATACTGCCATACTTTGCCAGGTTCTTTTGAAGATTAAAGAGAAAACTACATAAATAAGTCTAACACTGTGCCAGGAACTTAGGAATTCAGTTAATAATAGCTATGAATTTCTTTTATGTCCTTTGATAATATATTAATAAACTATCAGCCAGCTTCTGATGGAAAACCTTCAGGGATGGAAAATTCCACTTCCACAAGGAAGCTCATTCCGGCTTGGCACAGCTCGGCCGTTTGGGAAGTTCTTTGTAATGAGCTGATGGGCTCGCTGCAGATGTTGCCCACTGATCTCTGGGCCGGTTCTCTTCTGCAGCCACAGAAAAGGCTTGTAATCACTTCCCCAAAGGATAATGCCTTAAAAGTGCTCGTTTTTCAGCAAGAAGAAGAAAGGCCAGCTGTAAAATTGGAGAGATGTTTGATCTGTGCCTTGAGCTAGGTGGCAGTAAATAAAGTCTTAACACATAAACAGTACTTGCAAATACATAAAGTAAAAAAATGTGATTCTATACTTTAAAAAAATAATTGCTTACAGGTTTTCAGTTGAACTGAGTTTGGTTATTTGTAAGGTCCCTCACCCCCCCCCCCCCCATATACCTATTTGTTTTTATTTAGGTTTTTAGCATATGATTTTGGAGGATTTTTCAAAGGCATTTTTTGGGCAAGATTTGAAATATCACATATTTTCTGTAAGCTCCAGTAATCTAAAGATTCTTAAACATAAAAATGATTAATATAGCAATAATGTAAATTTTAGTAGCACAAAAGTATAAACTAGCACACAGACATGAGAATCGGGACTTAAACAAGAAAATACTCAATAGCATCAAAGGACACACATTTGACAGAAGTTTATAGTTTTTAAGAGAAAGTAAAACTCAAACTACAACGAATACTAAAGGTTATAAAATGACAAGTTCTCTCATTTCACATTTTTATTTATGACATCATGTAAGACACGGTGTAAGTGTGTTTTGGGGCACACCTCACTTTTAAACACCTCCTTGGTGTGTAGGTCCCGGGAGATGCCCAGGGGATATTTCCACACACCTTATACAGAATCGGTGACACAGTTGTGGGTTGATTTCTAGGTTGTAAGCCATACTATCTATAACTTCCTGTCGAGTAAGAAAGGGTGGGATTTCATTGCAACCACCTCCTTTTCTCCGGGAACCTGTTTATAACGTACACCATCCCTGTGGTGAAAGTTACGTACGTTGTCGGCTGGGCACTCCATCGCCTTCTGCGGATCTGCCACCACGTCTTCCTGAAAGTGAAAGATACCAGCAGTGAGCAGCACTGGAGGGCTCAAGTGTTCTTTTTAATTTTGGGTGTCAAGCACAGTTTAACAGGGCTTCATTCTCCTACAAAAATGACCAACACACTGTGCATAAAAGTTCTATTCATCCATCTGGACTAAGCCTTGGAGATAAACGCAAGCTTGTCATTTCCAAAGATGTCCTCCCTTTCAGATCTGTCAGGCAGTAAGCCTATCAGATATGCATGGTGGTTATTTCAACCATTTTTTTTTTCTCTTATTCTATCACAGCAGTAATCCCTAGAGTCTAAATCTTGATATTAGAACCCCAACCCCTTAAGATATCCGATTAGAGGCAAAACAAACAAACAAACAAACAAACAACACAAAACATTCATTGAAGACACTGGGAGATACAAAGATAAGTTAGTCCTGAACCCCATGGAGGAGTGCAGAGTCCAGACTTAGGAGAGAAGAAAATTATCATAACTTATGGGAAACTGATGCATAGCTAAAGGGAAATGAATTGAAATAAATGATGACAATGCTAAGTGGACAAGGCTGTTTATGTCAGCCTCCCACCATCTCTCATACTTTTTTACAGGCAATTTTATGGGGGAAATGTTCATCTGATAGTTTTCTCTAAGGCATGGAGCCCTGCAGGGAACACAAAGAGAGACTGATCTGGACAGGAGAGAGGATGGGTTTATTCTGGACTTTGACAAATATCTAAGAGAAACCTAGATGGCAGGCAGGCAAGTGATCTGAAGATGAGAAGCATAACTTCTACAGTGGGGATAGGAGTCTGTGACCTTAGTTGTCCAATTTAAGAGTTCTGCAACCGTGAGCAGGTTATATCTGACCTTTGAGAGCCTCAGCTTCCTCATTGAAAAAAATGGGGAAAATTGGATGTTAAAAGGATTAAATGGAGCAATACAAGAAAAACATTTAGCATGGCACCTGGCAATTAACAAATATTTAATAAAGATACTAATGATGATAACAAATGGATCAACCTATGATAAATCCATGTTCCTAACTCTACTATAGGGTTGCTGAAAACAATTACTCAGAAAGAACACTTTCTCCTTTAGGGAATGTTGATTCTGACCCTTTACCCCTACCTCCACTCCTCATCCTAGTTTCTTTTTGGGGCATCTTGACAGGTCCCTTTCTTCTAACAGGTTCCCATGAGATTTTTAATAATACAGTAGATAATGATCAGGTTACGCCCAGCCATTTATCATTACTAGATTAGGTAAGAATCTCATGCCATCTCATCAATACCCTATTGGTTTACAACCTGAGAAATTTTTATTTATTTATTTTTCTTTATTAAGGTATGACATATGTGTCATTATCCCTCCCCACTTGTGCCCTCAACCCCCCTAGTATCTGTGTCCATTGGTTAGGCTTATATGCATGCAAACAGTCCTTTGGTAGATCTCTCCCCATTACCTCCACCCTTTCCTGCCTTTCCTCTGAGGTCTGACAATCTGACCAATGCTTCTCTGTCTTTGGATCTGTTTTTGTTTATCAGTTTACAATCTGAGAGATGTAACCCCACCATGTAATATCCTGAGACCACAGCCTAGGACCCCTGGATAATTGTGACTACCCTTAGCTGTCAACTTGTAACTTACTGTTTAGGACCAGAACTATGTCTCATTTAAATTCCCTCTTATTTCCCTGAAATGGGAGAAAGAACCTAGAACTTCTCCCCCCAAACCTGGCCTTTTTTATTTTATTTTTTTACGACTTTGTTCCTAAACAGATTGTATGACACAAACTAAATTATAAAATTACCCCCTAATTCTTCACTGGACCCCTGGGTGATGCCGTTCCACAGCATGACCAATTTATTTTATCACTATTTTTGCAACATTCATATTATATTTTTAAGTGCCTAACTTCCATACACTATACTAATATGATTGACTTTTATTTTATTTGTTTATCTTATCTGTTTCTTCAACATACAGTGGAATAGAATATGAACTTCATAAAGGGCTTGTGCTGAATGAATCAAAGTTTGGTAACTTAAGTCTTAATTCCCTTGAGTGGACTTCAGAGCCAGTCATGAAAGGAAGGGTACACAGGGAAAGGGATCCTTTAAAGGACCACAGTTGAAAAGAGAGGAGGAAAACATGAGAAGGTTAATAAATGGTACACTCAGGAATTTTTAGAATGAAAGTTCTAAACTGCCTAATAAATGGAAACCATTGGCGTTATTCCTTCCAGTGCTGATTGAATGGCCTTCGGAAGAGCAAAGGAGCCTCTATTTGAAAATGACATGGCAGGTCTGCAAGTCTCCCTCTGTTAACCCCCAGATTAGCCAGCAGTGGGACACAGGAACTGACTTCCCCACGGAAAGAATTAAAAATGCAATTTGCATGTCACATAGACATGCTATTAATTTGGTTTAATTTGCCCTCATCACTTGCACTTGTAAATGAAAGGAAAGGGTGCTGGAATAGCAGCCAAAAAAATCTAGGTTCAGAGTGGTTTCACTACTTACTAGCAGTAGCAGTCTTAAAAACCTTCATTTTTTTTTTCTTTTTCTTTTGCAACAGTAAGAATTCAGTAACAGCTACCTGAACAAGGGGCTGTAAACAAAGTTGATTTCAACACGTGCTTATTGAGCATCTACTCTGTGCTGGCAGTGAGAGACTAACAGAGCCCGGAACTTATGGCATTTACATGTCTGGTGAAACAGAGGTTAGAGAAATAATTATGGAAATTTTGACTTTCACTCAAGGATACATATGTGAAGGAGCCTGAGAAGTGTTAGTCCCCTTCCCTTTCTCTTATCTTGTCCTAAAAAAGGTGGAAGAATGAGATGAGATAACCAGAGCTCTGAAAATCACGTGGCCCAATACACTGTCCTATTTCTTCTACTGATTACACTTGAACCTCTGGGTCAAAGGATGGAGCTGGTACATGACAGCAATGATGATAATAGCGACAGTTAAGTCTTTTTTTCTTTCTTAAATATATTTTTTATTGATTTTTTATAGAGAGGAAAAGAGAGGGGTAGAGAGCTAGAAACATTGATGAGAGAGAAACATCGACCAACTGCCTCCTGCACATCTGCCACTGGGGATGTGCCCACAACCAAGGTATATGCCCTTGATTGGAATCGAACCTGGGACCTTTTAGTCCGCAGACCGATGCTCTATTCACTGAGTCAAACTGGTTTCAGTACAACAGTTAAGTCTTTTTTTTTTTTTTAAATATATTTTATTGATTTTTTACAGAGAGGAAGGGAGAGGGATAGAGAGTTAGAAACATCGATGAGAGAGAATCATCAATCAGCTGCCTCTTGCACACCCCCTACTGGAGATGTGCCCGCAACCAATGTACATGCCCTTGACCGGAATCGAACCCGGGACCCTTCAGTTCGCAGACCGACACTCTATCCACTGAGCCAAACTGGTTTCGGCAGCAGTTAAGTCTTATTGAGCCCTGACCGTGGCCGCTGAGCTTGAATGCTACACATTTCAGATGTTGATGTCCACCATAGGCCTGTGTGTTAGGTACTACTATCATCTTCATTTTAGAGGTGACATAATCGAGTCACAGAAAGGCTAAGGTTTTTGCTGAGGCAGATCTTAACCCAGACACATCCTGCTTCAGAGCCTTTGCCCTAAACCAAGGGGTAAATCACATGAGAAATGGAAAGTGCTGCTCACTTCTCCCCAAGCATGCAAAAGTCTCAGGACTCAGCCTCAACACAGTGATTGCATTTTCGATTTGACATTAGGTCAGAACAAGTCATGCTGCTTATTTTGAGCCTGTACAGGACAGAAACAAATGGCACTAGCCACTGCAGTGACCTCAGGTGAGTCACTTGCTGCTTTGGATTTAAACATAAATTTAAAACTTGCTGATCTCCCAACTACTGCATCAAGGGAGCTCATAGTGCCTTCAAAGCTGAGGTCCTAAGACATGTTGACTTTGCACAGGGGACCTCTAAATAATAAGATGGAGGAAGCAGTGTAAAAAGATCATCCCATCTCAAAACAAACAGATCAGCCCGTTCTGTGTGCATTATGTGATAATCCTCAGCACTGTACGGAGAGCTCCTCAAAAAAATGCTTTGTGGGCCAGGCAAATTACTCTGATCAAGAGAAGCAGCTTCAGATGAGTGGACATAAAAAAGCAACCCTAGAATTGTCTACATATTACATAATAATGGGAGCATAATCATCATCACCAAAGCTCATTGACTTCTGTCCCAAAGCTGGGTAATCAAAACACCCTGTCTGTCTGGCCACAGTAATTGGTCCTAGCTGAGCCCCACAAGAACATCCTGTGGTTTTTCCAAAGTGGACCCTAGGGAAGTGAGTCAGCCTCTTTCTGGCACACGGGCTGAGGAGCGATGGCAGCCACCCGCCCTCCATGCTGAGGACGCAGGTCTCCAGCAGAACAGACTCAAGCAGACACGCAGAGACCTCTCAGCAGCACCGGGCCTCTGATTAAAATGAAGTGGATCCCAGAAAAGATCCATCAGGAGAACAAACTCGCAGGGGCAGGCCTAAGGGAGCTAAATGTAGATGAAAGAAGTGCAAATAGTATAAGACAGCAACTGAAGAGAGTGCTCAGCCCCCAAATATTCAAATTTAATGATCAAAAACAAATTTTCCTATCAGATGAACAACAATCACAAATAGTCTACTGCCGATTTAGGTCCTTTGTAGCCTCTTAATACACTAGAAACAAGACGACAACTTTTGCCTGTGTCAGTGCCAGCTTAATTCCCAGGCGTTCATTAGGAAGTCCACCTGGATTAGAAAGTCCATTAGCAAAAGCTGCCATGGTACAGTAACTTCCCCTTTAGCATCATCAGCACTATGACTCATCTAGAGTTGGATTCAAATCCTACAGTGACCCTTATGACTTGAGTGTCTCTGTGCCTCAGTTTCCTACCCATAAAGTAGCATTAGAGACAGTCATCTAAACATGAATTAATACATTTAGATGGATGCCTTTTGGAGTAAATGCTACGAAAGCATCAGCTGCCATTATCCTCGGCAGTTCTGAAAGCTCCCTCAAGGTAAGACCTGTGTGTGCTGTTTCCTGGGATTGGACCCGTGGCCAGCACAGTGCCCAGGACACAACAGGCCTTCAATACATACAGAGATAGGTACATAATGACTAGCTATTAAATAATACTGCAAACTGTTTTTCAAACTGGCTGTACCACTTTCCTACCAGCAAGATGTGAGAGCTCCAATTTCTCTACATCCTTGACAGTGCTTGTTATTATCTGTCTTTTTCATTAGAGCCATCCTAGGAGGTGTGAACTAGAAGCTCATTCTGGTTTTGATGTGCACTTCTCAGATGGTTAACGAGGTTGAATACCGTTACATGCATTTATTGGCCATTTGTATATCTTTGGAGAATGAGAGCTGAGAGGCAGTAGTGCAGAGTGCTTTCAGGTGCAACCCCCAGCCTGGATCCAAGCATCCAGGTGATTATTTAGGCCATTTATTTAGCATGTTGGAATGCAGAGAAAAAAAAGCCCATATTTCCTTCTAGAACTTGAAGTGTAACCCTGAAAGTGCTAGGCTGCCAAACACAAAGGTAGATTATGAGCAAAAGCATGGGAGTCTGATCAGACAGGACCCAACTCCAGCTCTACAACATCCTCTAGCAAGTTAGTTACCGTTAACCCTTGGTTTGCTCCTGTGTAAAAGAAAGTTTTCTTCATCTACATTACAAGGATCAGAAAATGCGTAGTACATAGAAGTTCAATAACACTAAATATTGAACATTAGGACACAGAAAGAGAAAGAATTCTCTAAAACTGCCTCTCTCTTAATACTCTAGTCCCTGGACGAGTTTGAGTATATCTTCCTATGAATCAATGAAATAAAATTAATTTCTCTTTCCATGCTTATAGGATTAATTCAACACAGTCTTATGCTTAAAGATACCCAATGTTAAAAAAACAAAAACAAAAAAAACTTATAAGAGAGATTGATTCTTTAGCTCCAGACAGCATAGTTAGTTCAAGTGTGAAGAAGGTGGGAGAATATGTATGCTATTCTTTGGAGTGAACAAATTGCTCACTCTATGGAATAGCTCAAACGTTAACAGTTGGTCCTTTTCAAAGAGGCACAAACATAAATAATACATCGTTAAGGAGAACACTGCATGAAACCACCCAGGATTCTCACCAATTTGGAGCTTTCACTTTCAGGCACTTGTTTAGTACCAGCTTCAAGACTGCCATCTTCCTCACTGCTCACAGGTTCGGGGCCGCTCTGATCCTAGAAGACATTGAAAAGAAAAATGGCACCGATGTCATTCTTTACTCACAGTGACCTGAGCTGTACAGATGCTCAATCATAGTTGCTTGATTTATTTTTGCAGTGGGTACTGTTTCCTCTCCAAGGCGTGCCTATTTTCTTCCTTTCTAGTACATATCTATCTCTATTGCTCACAGATATGCCTTAGAAAAAGCTGATCCCTACTTTCTGTTCCGAGAGGCCTGACTGCCTTAAGGTTAATCCCATTCATTGGCCAATGATTTTGTCAGGAATAGGTATATGTTCCATTTCTAGTCAATGAGACACAAACAGAGGTCTGCTAGAGATTGCTGGAAAAGTCCTTCCTGATCTTAAAAGAGCTAAAGTCCCCAGGCATCCCTAATAAACAAGAAAGCATGAAGCTCAAAATAGCTTGGCCAGCCATTCCACTAGCAAGAGGGAACCAGTCTTGGGATGAAGCTGGCATTGTGAATGAGAACAAAGATAGAGATGAAAGGAACTGGTTCCCTGATGGAAAGAACTGGGCCACTAGATTGAGCAAACCTGAAGCCCGGCTTCATCCTTAGCAGTCTTCTAATAAGAGCTAATAAGTTTACTTCTTGTTTTACCTTCTTAGAGTAGCTATTTGTTCCCTCCCCTAAGCTTTCTGAGATATTTATTTTCTGCACAAGACTAAACTGTTTGAGATAAAAGACTATATTTATCTTATTTCTGCAACTCACGTACCTAAACACCCTGCCTGGCACATGGGAACGTGACAAATACTGGTTGAAACAATGGATGAATTGAATACTTGTTTTCTTGATAATTTTCCCCCCCCTGCAGATTACTAAAAATACTTATTTAACATTAATGAGACATCTGGTAATAATAAGATCCATTAAAATTTCAAAACACATTAGGGATCTCTTCAATTGAATTATGATATTAAATGTTATAATTAACTAGAAGTTTCTTTAATTTTTAAGGGCACATAAGGATAATAAATGGAGTATATTCTTGTGTTTATCTAGATTTTTATTTTAAAATATCACCCTTTGGGGATTACTACAAATTCAAATAGGATTGTTTGTAGAGAAAATAGTTTTGACTTGGGGACAGTCTAACTTACTTATAACTCAAGAAATGCAAATTAAAGCAGATATAGCATTCTTTCATCTATCAAATAGACAAGAGATCAAAAAGATAACATTCAGTATTGATAATGCAGAAACAGGAATTTTCACACACCATTGAAAGACTAAATTAGGGTAATCTTTTTATATGTGACAGATATATTAAAAAAGGGAAAATATCTGTAAGGATATAGAATACATTTTAAAAATTGCTAATTCTGAAGGGTAGGGTTAGAAATTGGGGAATTTTGCATTAGTTATTTCTATACTGTTTGATATAGAAGAATTAGTATGTTTTATTACTTTTTTTTTTTTTTTTTTAATAAAGGAGAGCTGTGAGAAATGAGCTAAAAGAAAAAGAAAAGTCCAAGAAAGAAAGTATGATAGCATGGATATTAGATTTGGTGAGATCTGGATTCCAATTTAACTTTGCTACTTAGAATTATATAATTTTCTGCATTACTTTGAAATCTGAGTACTTGTTTTTAAGGTACAGATAAAAATACCAAATTAAAAAACTACCCTGTTAGGTTGCCCTGAAGTTTAATAGATAAACATGTGAAAGTTCTATTAGCACAGCATTAGGTATTGTTGATCTTTTTTTCTAGCTTTTATTGAGACAGGTTCTTAATCCATGCCCTGTTGCCTTATATGAATGTGGGAAAGAAAGCATATAAAAATGAGAGGAATCTTTACTTTAATATTTCTCAGTAATATATTTTTTTGGTTTTAAAAAATGAACACTATAGTGAGGGAGAAAACAGCCACTTAATCCTTCAACTTAGAAAATTAAAAAAAAACATGGGCAAAGCAGCCTAGTTTGCAAATGGTCTATGAATTCTTTTTTTTTTTTAATGCAGTTATCTTTTTAAAAAAATGTTTTTATTTATTTATTTAAAAAAATTTTTTTAAATATATTTTTATTGATTTTTTACAGAGAGGAAGGGAGAGATATAGAGAGCTACAAACATCGATGAGAGAGAAACATCGACCAGCTGCCTCTTGCACACCTCCTACTGGGATGTGCCTGCAGCCAAGGTATATGCCCTTGACCGGAATCGAACCCGGGACCTTTCAGTCCGCAGACCGACGCTCTACCACTGAGCCAAACCGGTTTCGGCTAAAAAAATGTTTTTATTGATTTTAGAGAGAGAGCAAGAAAGATAAACATTAATGGGTTGCCTTCATCCCCTTTTCCCCACTGAGGATTAAGCACACAACCTGGAATTGAACCCATGACCCTCTGCTATACAGAGTGATGCTTAACTAACGGAGCCACACTGTCCGGGGCAGCCTATGTAATCATTATGATTTGAATAAAAACAAAGATAATACCCTTTACATCTTATAAAGCTCTATCTCAAATGCTACTCAATAAATCCTTTCCTTCTTAGCTGAAAACATCACTTTTTCCTCTAACTCATCTAATATTTTACCTGAACTTATGACATGTGCCATTGTGTGTCATTTATATCTTAATTTATGTGTGTACAGAAGTGAACTTCCCAATGAGACGGAAAGATCCTGAATTCAAAAATCTGTGCCTCATTCATTTCCTTTGTTTGATTCAAATTTTAAAATTCATCTTAGGTCTATCGCATTTCAAAGTCAATGTTCTTTTTAACTGTACCACGAGCCCTTTGTAAAGCTTTACCAGTTTAGTTTGAAATGGCTCTATAGAGGGGTTTAAAGTCAAAACACAGATGGAGAGGAAAGTCAGGTAAAAAGGAAGTTCCAACTGAGAGGGGTTTGCAGTAGAGCATTTCGTTTTTCAAGAGAGCTAAAGTTTATAAAAGAGTTTCATGCTTTAATGAGGCACAGAACAAAACAACGTGGATTCTGCTCTGAGAACAGAATGGCTCATATTAAGGAGCCTTCAAAATGCTCCGCTGACCAGGAGCTTAGAAAACAGAACTCAGTCAGAGATGGGAAGGGGAAAATAGGTCAGCTAGCATGATTTCCAAAGCATGATTGGATCACGGTGGTGTGAAGGCCATCTGGCTGATGGACGGCGGCCCACTGACATCTAAGATTCAGCTAATCCTCATGGCTGGGTATTCCTTTCCTCTCTTGTGATCTTCAAACACCTGTCCCATGCTGCCTGTTCAGCCAAGGCTGCTCAAGGAGAATGACCCTTCCCCATGAAGGCCATGGTAAGATTCCACAGTAAATTATGCTTTACAGACGAATGAAAAGAAAAGGCAAGGCTTGTGATTACACATTTAATACAGCCTTTACCCTCTCTCTCCAAATAAATAGTAAAGTAAAAAGACTGATAAGAAATTCTATTCAATCCCCACTGAGAAATCTCTTACAAATATTCAGGGTCGTTCTAAACTTCCTCCCTTGGCCTCCTCCAAAAATTCTTCTCTATTAAGTGATGACAAATTTTTATTTTTAATACTACTTCATTTTTTCATGCCAATTATTTGACTATAGTTTTCTCCAACTAGACGATGAGAATCTTGACAGCAGCAATTTATGTTTAATTTGAGAGCAGGCTATTAAGAAAAGTTAAATTAGCTGAAACTGATTTGGCTCAATGGATAGAGCGTCGGCTTGGGGACTGAAGGGTCCTGGGTTCATTCCGGTCAAGGGCATGTACCTTGGTTGCGGGCATATCCCCAGTAGGGGGTGTGCAAGAGGCAGCTGATCGATGACTCTCTCTCATCGATGTTTCTAACTCTCTAGCTCTCTCCTTTCCTCTCTGTACAAAATCAATAAAATATATTTTAAAAAAAAGAAAAGAAAAGAAAGCCAAAAAGAAAAGAAAAAAAAAAAAAAGAAAAGTTAGATTAGGTAAGGATGTTTTCATGGGTTGGGAAAACACCTCTGATCAGATAAATGTTCCATAGTGTGGTTCTCTACCTTCTTCTCCCATTTAACACAACAAAAAGGCATATTAGTATATACAACTGTTTTCCTTTTAATTTAATTTAAGATTTGCTAAGCTTAATTTTTATTTTTTAATATATTTTATTGATTTTTTTTATAGAGAGGAAGAGAGAGGGATAGAGAGTCAGAAACATCGATAAGAGAGATACATCGATCAGCTGCCTCCTGCACCCTCCCCCCCCCACCGGGGATGTGTCCACAACCTAGGCACATGTCCTTGACCGAAATAGAACTTGGGACCTTTCAGTCTGCAGGCCGACGCTCTATCCACTGAGCCAAACCGGTTTCAGCCTAAGCTTAAATTTAAAAGAAACAAAACCTCCAGCAATTATACATACCTGATATAGTTAAAAGTTCTTTTATTAAAAAATAAAACAAATGTTGGTTTAAATTTTCTCCTCTCCATCTTTCCTAAATCTAATGCTCTCTTAAAAAAAAAACACACCACATGATTTATTTGTCTCATTGCTAGCCTAAATTCACCAATATTTCTTGCTGCAAAGTCATGTTTATTAAATGTGACAGTTTGAATTTCTTTCTTCTACCCCCAATCAGGAGCATACCTTCTAGGCTGCTCAGAATTCCAGAAAGGCAGTGTACAATTAAGATATAATGGAAATTATGCTAATGACACTTGCTAAGTAACCAGCCTCTCCATTCTTTTTTTTTTTTTATAAAGAATTTTTTTAAATATATTTTATTGATTTTTATACAGATAGGAAGGGAGAGAGCTAGAGAGTTAGAAACATCGATGAGAGAGAGTCATCGATCAGCTGCCTCTTGCACACCCCCTACTGGGGATATGCCCGCAACCAAGGTACATGCCCTTGACCGGAATCGAACCCGGGGCCCTTCAGTCCCCAAGCTGACGCTCTATCCATTGAGCCAAACCGGTCCCGGCCAGCCTCTCCATTCTTTATCAGGCCTGCTCCATCTCACTTAGTTTTCAAAAAAAGCACAACTTTCTGAGAAAAAGGGAAAGTAAAAAGTTTTTGCTTCTACAAAGATATAGAAACCTGCCTCATCAAAGAATGGAATAAATATCGTACGACCTGAGTATACTTGAGTCCTCAGTGCCTCTTACAAGACACCACAGCAGTGGCTTCCTATTTGGGCTTCTCTCTTCAAGACATCTTTGATGTTGCTATTAGACTGCTTTACCTGAAGTAGAGTCCTGATCAGACCAGTTCATTGTTCAACATGCCTACAACAGTTCCAAGTACCTATTGCATAAAATTCAAATCTTCTGAGATCTACAATCAAGCCTCTCTCATTTGACCTCAATTTATTTTTCTAACCCCAACTTCTTTCACTCCCTTTCATGGATCCTTATACTTTCTTCCATTTTACAACCTGATTTATTTTAGTTTTGTGTTTTTATTTGTGCTATTCCCACATTCTTACCAACCATATTCATATTCGTATTTTAAAATACAATCTATTGATCAGAAATAGCTTTTCTCCTATTAGGAAACACCATTCATCTTCTGTGAACTTCCTCCTAAAGTTTTATCTCTGAGGGCACCTTGTTTTAGTAATATTCATATTTTATTATAAAACTCTAAGTTCTTTGAGTGTATAGACTATTTGCAATTAATCTTTGTATGCTCTACAAAGTAGATATTTGGTAAATAGCATCAGAATAAATTGAATAAGAAATACTCAACACTAAAATAAAGCATCAAGGATACAATACAAAAGCCAAAAATATGATCCCTGCAATTCAATTATCCCATAAATATTTATTAAGCAAGTACTAGATGCTAGGCACTGAGGATTGAATTATCAAAATGAGGACACTGATGGGTGGGGAAAGGGCAGAGGGTGGGGTGGGAACCTGGTGGAGGGGAGTAACGAAGGGGAGGGGGGAAGAGGAACATCTGTAATAATATGAACAATAAAGATTAAAAAAAAAAAGAAGACAAAAAGCTTAACCTTTAAAACCATACAGTTTAGAGTGATGCTTACAATCCTACTTAAAAAAAAGATTTAAAAATTGATTTTGAGAAAGACAGACAGAGAGAGAGAGAGAGAGAGAGACAGAGAGAGAGAGAGAGAGAGAGAGAGAGAGAAATATCAATGTGAGGGTAACATATCGGTCAGCTGCCTTCTGCAAGACCCCTACTGGGGATGAGATGAGGCCTACAACCTGAGCACATGCCCTGACTGGGAATCAGCAACCTTGTAGTGCATGGGATGACACCCATCCAACTAAGCCACACTGGCCACGGCCAATCCTACACTGTTTTTTCTTTTATAAATTTAATTTTAATGTTGATGGCATTAAAACACTAAGATAATGAGGGAACTACAAGTAACAGGATCCTTGCTAAACCCATGTAGAAATGGGTCTGTCTTTTTCTATAAGAACCAGGTGACGTCACACAAAGGACAAAGGATAATGTTTACCTTTTCAAGGAATCATAGTATTATTTAACTGTGAAGGGAGTAAAGATTACTGAAGGGAATGGGGTGGGATGAAGCAGTTCAGAAGACTAGCCTCTCTCATCTGAGGACTTACACCTTCTCTATAAATTATTTTATTCATTTTGAGTTATAGAACATGTGGAAGAGGTTTCCAAAAAGGTAATTCTTCAAGGAATTGGTGGTTGAGAGTTAATAAGGAGGAAGTGGGAAGGCATCCAGGTAGAAGAAACAAAGACAAAGAGGTGGAGAGGCCAAGATGTGTGGGGGAAATCAACTTCATTTTTGTGTAGAAGCAAAGGAAAAAGCATGGAGAGAAACTAAATGATAAATAGTAACTTCTTTGGGGAGGTGGGAAAAGATAAAATCCTTTCTTCTAATAAATCTGCATTTGATTAGTTATAATAATTATGTATTTCTTTTTGAAATTAAAAAATAATTCAATAACTAAAAAACATAAAGAGAATATAATATTCCCTCAGCTGGGAAGACACACTAGTTTATCTATCTATCTATCTATCTATCTATCTATCTATCTATCTATCTATCATCATCATTTATCTCTAGAAGCAGATCATTATGATAGCAATCTTATTGTGTTAGTATGTCCCCTATCAGTAGATGAAAGTAATTACTTAAAGACACCTACAATCATAGGTACTAAAGTGTTTTGAAAACGTAGAGAAAGAGGTGGTACTACTATTCAGTTATTAAAAAAGAATTTTCTAAGAAACGAGGACATATTCTATGTCTAGAAAAAAACTTTAAGAAACTTTGAGGAAGGCAATACTCATATGGTTAACTTCTAAAGTGTTTGTGTAACATTGTTTTTAGATTACTTTATAATCATACTAGTACTTCAAATACTTTCTATTTTACTTAGGTATATTCCTTAGATAATACATTTTATGAATTTTAAGATACTGAAAGTAAAAAAAGTTAGATTTGGGGAAAAAAGAATTATGACAAACCCATCTAATATATTCACGATAAGCTAATTAGGAGCCATCTTACCTCAATAAAAGATGGGGAACTTGATGGTAACGGAACGGGAGCCACAGCCATCTGATTGACCGCATCTTCATTTCTGCGGATGTTAACATAGGCATAATCAGTACACAGTAAACGCCAAGTGCCTGGCTCAAGTTATGATCATTTCCTCGGTTCTCAGCTTGAAAATGCATGAACAGCACTACAGAATTAAAAATATACACATAACATACAAGACAATTGGTCCCAAAAAGAAATATGTTACTCATGGGATGCTGAGATACAATTACTAGTGACAAAGAATGATGATGCTAGGAGCTGGCCAAAGTCTGCTTAGTAAGGCAGGTGCTGCAGAGGCTCATTTTTGGAAAACCATCAATCTTTTCAGCTCTGAGGAGTATACATTTTTCAAAAGGGTGTGTGTAACCTCTAGGCCCCACTAATGGTTAGAGCATTTTGTTCTTTGAACTGGAAAGTTTCCCAGTCTCCTCACTTGGCTCCTTAACTTTGTTCTGCCAAGTGAAGGATGATGGGAATGTATAGGACAGTCTCCACATGGGTGGACTCTGTAATGGATGGGGAGAGCAGAGATCCAGACAGGCAAGCTCTGTGGGTTAGGGCAATCTTACTCCTTATCATCTTAATAGGAGCGGAGGAGGTGGGAGCTGAAACTTCATCCCTGGGATGACAGGCACAGTACAACGCCTCCAATACCAGGTCTGATTATTTGGGCTCCTTTCCACTCTGCTGCTAACAAATGGTAGGCGGTGGTTCTGCGCGAGATTTTCCCTTCACTCTTTTTTTTAAACTTATTTTTTTTATTAAATTATTATCTGTGTACATATTTTAACTCCCTCCCCCATACATAACCTCCCTCCCCAGAGTTTTGTGTCCATTGGTTGTACTTATATGCATGTATACAAGTCCTTCGGTTGATCTCTTATGTCCCCCAGATCTCCCTACCCTCCCCGCTGTAATTTGACAGTCTGCTTATTGCTTTACTATCTTTATATCTGTCTTTTGGATCATCAGTTTATAATGTTCTTTAATATCCATAAATGAGTGAGGTCATGTGATATTTCTCTTTCATTGACTGGCTTATTTCACTCAGCATGATGTTCTCTAGTTCTATCCAGGTTGCTGCAAATGATGAGAATTCCTTCTTTTTTACGGCAGCATAGTATTCCATTGTGTAGATGTACCATAGCTTTTTGATCCAATCATCTGCTGACGGGCACCTAGGCGGTTTCCAGATTCTAGCTATTGTAGATTGTGCTGCTATGAACATAGGGGCGCATATATCCTTTCTAATTGGTGTTTCTAGTTTCTTGGGATATATATTCCTAGGAGTAGGATTACTGGGTCAAATGGGAGTTTCATTTTCAGTTTTTTGAGGAAACTCCATATTGTTCTCCACAACCTCACCAACACTTGTCGTTTGTTGATATTGGCTATTCTGACAGGTGTGAGATGGTACCGCATTGTTGTTTTGATTTGCATCTCTCAGATAATTAGTGACTTTAAGCATGTTTTCATGTGCCTCTTAGCCTTCCTTCTGTCTTTTTTTGAAAATATTCTATTTAGGTCCATTGCCCATTTTTTAATTGGATAATTCATCTTCCTTTTATTTAGTTGTATAAGCTGCCTGTAGATGTTGGAGATTAAACCTTTATCAGTGATAACATTTGCAAATATGTTCTCCCATACAGTGGGCTTTCTTGTTGTTTTGTTGATGGCTTCTTTTGCTGTAAAAAAGCTTTTTATTTTGATATAGTCCCATTTGTTTATTTTCTCTTTAGCTTCCATTGCCCTAGAGGCAGTATCAGTGAAGAAGTTCTTTTGGCATATGTCTGAGACTTTGCTGCCTGTGGATGCCTCTAGTATTTTTATGGTTTCCCGTCTTATGTTTAAGTCCTGTATCCATTTTGAGTTTATTTTTGTGTATGGTGTAAGTTGGTGATCTAGTTTCATTCTTTTGCATGTATCTGTCCAATTTTCCCAACACCATTTATTGAAGAGACTGCCTTGACTCCATTGTATGTTCATACCTCCTTTGTCAAATATTAATTGAGCATAGTGATTTGGGTTGATATCTGGGTTCTCGATTCTATTCCATTGATCTATATGTCTGTTCTTGTGCCAGTACCAGGCTGTTTTGAGAACAGTGGCTTTGTAATACAGCTTGAAGTCTGGTATTGAGATCCCTCCTGCTTTACTCTTCTTTCTCAGGATTGCTGTGGCTATTCGGGGTCTTTTATTGTTCCAAATGAACTTTTGGAGAGTTCTTTCCAGGTCAGTGAAATATGCCATTGGTATTTTAATGGGGAGTGTATTGAACCTATAGATTGCTTTAGGAAGTATGGACATTTTGATGATGTTGATTCTACCAAACCATGAACATGGTATGTTCTTTCATCTGTTTTACATCTTCCTCTATCTCTTTTTTCAGTGTCATGTAGTTTTCTGCATATAGGTCCTTTACTTCCTTAGTTAAGTTCATTCCTAGGTATCTTAATTTTTTTGGTGCAATGGTAAATGGAATTGCTTTTTTAGTCTCTGTTTCTATAAGTTTGCTGTTGGTGTATAGAAATGCCATAGATTTCTTGGGGTTAATTTTGTATCCTGCTACATTGCCAAATTCATTTATTAAGTCAATTAGTTTTTTAATGGAGTCTTTTGGTTTTTTTATGTACAATATCATGTCATCTGCAAATAAGAATAACTTTACTTCTTCTTTTCCAATTTGGATGCCTTTTATTTCCTCTTCTTGTCTAATTGCGATGGCTAGTACTTCCAGTACTATGTCAAAGAGGAGTGGCGATAGTGGGCATCCCTGTCTTGTTCCTGTTCTTAGAGGGAATGGTTTTAGTTTTTGCCCATTGAGTATAATGTTGGCTGTGGGTTTATCATATATAGCTTTTATTATGTTGAGGTATGACCCTTATACTCCCACCTTGTTGAGAGTTTTTATCAGGAAAGGGTGTTGGATTTTATCAAATGCTTTTTCTGCATCAATTGATATGACTATGATTTTTATCTTTCAATTTGTTTATGTGATGTATCATGTTTATTGATTTGTGGATATTGTACCATCCTTGCATTCCCGGAATAAATCCTACTTGGTCATGGTGTATGATATTTGTGATGTTCTTCTGGAGTTGATTTGCTAGAATTTTGTTCAGGATTTTGGCATCTATGTTCATGAGGGATATTGGCCTGTAATTCTCTTTCATTGAGTTGTCTTTATCTGATTTTGGTATTAGGATGCTGCCAGCTTCATAGAAGGAGTTTGGAAGTGTTCCTTCCTTTTGAATTTTTTGGAATAGTCTGAGAAGGATAGGTTTTAGTTCTCCCTTGAATGTTTGGTAAAACTCTCATGTGAAGCCATCTGGCCCTGGGCTTTTGTTTGCAGGAAGCTTTTTGATGACTGTTTCAATTTCTTCCCAAGTCACTGCTCTATTGAGATTTTTAGATTCTTCCTGATTGAGTTTTGGAAGGTTGTGTTTTTCTAGGAATATGTCCATTTCCTCCAGGTTGTTCAGTTTGTTGGAATAGAGTTGTTCGTAGTATTTTATAACAATCTATTGTATTTTGGTGGGGTCTGTTGTTATTTCACCTCTTTCATTTCTGATTTTGTTTATTTGAGTCCTCTCTCTTTGTTTCTTGGTTAGCCTGGCTAGAGATTCATCTATCTTGTTTATCCTTTCAAAGAATCAGCTCTTGGTTTTGTTGATCTTATGTTTGTTTCTTTGGTCTCTATGTCATTTATCTCCGCTCTGATTTTTGTTCCCTTCACTCTTCATGATGCACAACCGATACCATTATCTCGAGATTTATGTTACGTCCCTCTTGAAGGTTTCAGAACACAAGCTCATGAAGCACAAAAAATGCTTCTTACTGTTGTGTGAAGATTTAAGACTGTTCACAGATCTCTCAAGATGACCAGTGTAGACAGGATAGCCACTACCTGACTTAGGGGGGCACTCACAATCCCACCTCATATTTTCACTTCTCACCCACTAGAAAAGGCTCAGTTGGCCCTCATTGTTTCTGTTTTGGGGCTTTATTCACATGACTGCCTTTAGCTGACATGTCTTTATTAAATGTATAACACATAAATAAATAAATAAATAAATAAATAAATACCCCCCCCCCCCATCTCCTCCAGTGTGAGCTCAATAACCTCAAACAGGCAAATTATTTCCTTAAGTCCAAAGACTTGTCTCTATGTCTCTAAGTTCACAGAATGAGCCCAGATGTTTTTCTGAGCTTATGATTTGCATATCCTACTTTACGTCTCCACTATATATCTTACAAGCATCTTAAATAAAACAGAGCTCTTTATCCTACTCAGTCCCCAGAGGGTTTTATAGCCAATTTCCTTTCCACCTGTGTAAATGTCAACAGTATCTGCCCAGTTTTTCAGCCAAGAACCCGAGAGTCATTCTTGAAACCTCTCACACCTCAATTATATTTCCAATCCATGCTATACGAGTGCAACCCAGCCCCTGTTAATAAAACCATATAGAATTAGGACATTTTTTACCCTTTGAACTAGCTGTGTCCCAACCTGTTGCCATGGATTTTTTTTTGGGAAATGGCTGTAGAAATTTCCAAGTGATTTTTGAATTTTCTAACCATGGACATCAACAGTTGCCTCCCTTCTACCATGTAGAAAACTTTGACTTAATTTTCATCCAGATATAGGGGGATACCTGCCTGTTTTTCGAAGTGTTTACTGCTGTTACTGTTTGATTAGAATGTATTAAATAAAAACCCTGACTTGTGAAAAAAAAAATCTTGTTGATTCTACCTCCAAAACATATCTTGAATCTTTGCACTTCTTTCCATCCTATCCTAGTACAAGCCATCATCATTTCTCACCAGTGTTAAAGAGCATCCTATGGGGTCTCCCTACTTAAGACTCTTCATCCTCTCTCCAAGCTATTCTGCACCCAGCAAAGCTATGGTTCCAAAACAAAAATCTGACATGTCTATCCCCTGTTTGAAACCTTCCTGTGACTTCTTATGGCACTTAGAATCCTAAGCCCAGACTTGCGGAGGCCATAAGGCCTCGGGCAGTCTGAGCCCAGTCCC